CATCGTCATAAGACTTGTGAGATTGTGGGACGTGAAGGTAGAATATGTCTGTATGAGGTAGATGGACGCAAAGCTCGTGATAAAGCCTTTGAAAATCTACAGCCAGATTCAGATCTATATGAGATAGCTCAAGCATTAGAAGATAATGCATATCAAATCAAAGTTCCATTGAAGTGGTATTGCTTTGGTGTCCTTCTCCATGATGTTGCTAAGGAAGGTTGTGGTGTTTTGAGCTTATCTTACTGTCAAGAGCTTGGCCAGCAATTGAAAGTTAATTTGTCACCCCAAGAATCATTAAGTGCTATCAAGTTTCTCAGTTTTCTTAATAAGTTGCTCTTTTATCCTGATTCACCTGCTGGTGACCTTGTTTTTGTTAACATAGAGAGCCTCATTAACATTCTTAGAGATTTACTGGTGTTTGTCTATGATGCTCATTCTGATGCAAAATATCTACTTCCTGATCAGAAAGCACTCGTGTGTGAAGGTCACCTCTCCATTGAAATTCTTAAAAAGGCATCAAAAAGTTGTTATAAAATATCTAAGGAATTTTCTAATTTTGACAAAAAGTTACTTGGCCTTTTTGAATACCTTCTGATTGCTGCACAGTTAGATTTACCTCAAAATGATACCTTCTTTATGCCAGCTCTTCTACCTATAAAGGATGTATCTAACATCAACCCCTACCCTAACACAACTCCTCTTTTGTTATATTTTGAGAGTGCTATTCCTATGGGTCTTTTTTGTGCTATTATTGTTCATCTTCTCTCTCACAAAGATTCCTCCTGGAATGTTGCTGAAGAAGAGTCAAACTTTTCAAACTATTTCACTTTACGATGCCCTGACCTTCTTCAAACTGACATAATTCTTGTTGAACAACTCGACTGTATTACTGTGTATTGTGAAGCAACTGATGATTACATTCCAGCAAGAGATGCTGTAGAAGAAGCAGTTGATGTAGCAATGTCTAAGCACAAACTTAGTACATGTGAGAAACCGAAAAGAGCATTTTACTGTCCTTGTGGTAAAGGAAGGCATGCAGCTGTGGCATCATGGCTTAAAACACAAAATCGTTATGTTTTCCGTTGCACTAGTAATAATAAGCCCCAAAGTCTGGCTGTGGAGTACTTGAGTTGGCTATATAAGACAAGTAAGATTAAAATTGATGGTAGTGTTAGTACATAGTCTTGTTTGTAATTGATAGGAAAACGGCAACATGATGATGAGTTACAAAATTTACCTGATATTTTAGAGACAAGTGAGTTTGAATATGTGCAATGCTTGTACTGTAGTCAACCCCTTCCTTTGTAAATACAATGGGAGGGGCTGGCTATGCAATACTGTGCTATTACTTGAGTTTTGCACAAAAAGTAAGGACCATACTTTTCTTCTTTTGCAAGTGGCACTGTAGTGCATGGGCAGGATCTTTATTATTTTTACATTATTGTTGCAATGTAAAATAGTGATATCTATTGTGTATGAACTAAATATACCTAAAATAATTATTTATGAAATTTTATTTTAGATATTGCGTATCAAGTCCTTGTGGATAGTACAACAGAAATTAAGGACCATTTTTCTGATGATTATTCTGATTTTGCAGACAAGTTGCTGGAGATGAATGTGATCACTGAAAGGGAAAGAAGTACCATAACTGATAGATCTACTGGACAAAATAAGTACCAGCGAATGGGAGAAGTAATTGAGCATGTCAAAAAAGCAGTTGAAATTAAAGAGTCTGTTTTTTTCCTGTTTTTAAATATTTTTCTTGAGAAAGGTACTCAACCTTCAGCAGAGTTTGCTCGGAAACTAATGCAAAGATATAAGGATAAAACTCAACACTCTGATGTTAATCTGGAGTCATTGTCAAAAAGAACTAAACAGATTGCACATGATTATTAAATGTTCTAATAAAGTAACATCATATTTTACTTTGCTGAGCAATGTCAATGAGTAAGTGAGTGTTACAAAAAATTTGAATTTAAAGAGTCTTTTATAAAAATTATTGCAAATTTGACACCTTGTGGAAGAGGTATGAACAAGCTTGTAGAAAATTAATGACAAGCTTACGATTAAAAATAGCCAAGTGAGTTTCTTTTACAATCGATATTCTTAGTTTTTTGTGACAGCACATATTAAATGTTTCATTTTTATCAAGTAATAATTAGATGGTACCATTTTCTTAGTTGTGAAGTTCCAAGCATTGAGACAGTATGTGCCCAGTAATGCTCCCATCACTTGTGACTCTAGGGATAAGTGACTGAGTCCAGATATGACGTACAGTACACTGGTAATATTGTCTCAAAGTGTTATTAGGTTAGTTTGTACATGTACATCATGCCCACACTTTGCTTTTTATATGCACTGTATTATCTCTAATGTTCACTTTCATAAAAATTATAAATTTTTATACTAGAATATGTACATGT